TCTGGCTGGGCTTCCCCAGCCACTCTGGGTGGCTTCCAAAAAAATATTAAAATACTGTAATACATCAAACATTAAAAGCTTCCCTAAACAGGGCTACCTTCAGATGTCTTCTAAAAGTCTGGTAGTTGTTCTTCTCTTTGACATCTGGTGGGAGGGCATTCCACAGGGAGGGTGCCACTACCGAGAAGGCCCAGATATATAAGCTACGTGCCAAATGGCTCCTTAAAGAAGGGTTACAGTCGCTAAAACAGGATGCCTTACCTAGTTGCCATTTTGGGGCCAGACGGTTCAAAAGTCGTATTTTTCAATAGGACTTTTTGGTTCCCGAAATTCATTCCAATTGTGCAGATACAATATAATGAATAGAATTCTACAGAATGTACTGCTAGTGTGTGAAAATGGTCAAGATCCAAGGATCCCCAGACATGCACCTCCAGATGGTAGAGACGTTTGATGGCATCCTGGCACCTGGGCAACTTCACTTGGTCACATGTGGTAGTAAAGGTAAAGGGACACCTGACCATTAGGTCCAGTCGTGGCCAACTCTGGGGTTGCGGCGCTCATCTCGCTTTATTGGCCGAGGGAGCCGGTGTACAGCTTCCGGGTCATGTGGCCAGCATGACTAAGCCGCTTCCGGCGAACCAGAGCAGCACACGGAAACGCCGTTTACCTTCCCGCCGGAGTGGTACCTATTTATCTACTTGCACTTTGACGTGCTTTCGAACTGCTAGGTTGGCAGGAGCAGGGACCGAGCAACGGGAGCTCACCCCGTCGAGGGGATTCGAACCGCCGACCTTCTGATCAGCAAGTCCTAGGCTCTGTGGTTTAACCCACAGCGCCACCAATACCCAGGTACAAAAGACGCCTGGCAAATTTTGAACGCTGCATGTGACTGAATATGTATCTTTTAATGGACTTATGTATGTCCCTTTCAGCGGCACAGAGTATTAAGTATTTTCATATAGCCTCACAACAGGACAGGAGTTTTTATTGACTCTGAAGAAAAATGGGGATATTGGGTATGGCACAGTGATGGTTTCCAGAGCCACCATGTCAAAGGGCATCTAGGATTCATATATATGACTGGAGGAAAACAAAAATTACAATGCAAAAAAGCAAGTCACGCCTTTCAGGCCTACGAGGAAAAGAAGAAACCTCTGCTTCAGCGACATACGCCTTTGTTTCAGGAACGGGCAAATGGTAAGATTGATGACATGCAATAGCTACCAGGATGACATGTAATAGATCGCCAAGGATTTCCAACTCCCAGTTTTTTAACTATTGCAAAAAACAATATGACCCCCCCCCCCATATTAGACCAAAGAAAGCCACTTGTGACCAAGCAATGATGCCTGGGCACCAGGAAGGTCTCCCTCACCCGGAGGTGCCTGCCTGGAGGATCCTTGGATCTTGACCGTTTTCACACACTAGCAGCATACCCTGTAGAAGTCTATCCTTCATATTTCATCTACACAATCAGAACAAATTTCAGCAACCAAAAAGTCATTATTGAAAAATATGACGTGGCAACAGTATTCCATTTTGGCAACTGCAACCCTTGTTTAAGAAGCCAATTGGTGTCTGGCTTATTTATTTGTGGCATTTTACAAATAAAGTGAGAGACCAACACGTCTACGTCCATACTTCAGCTAGTATAAACCTCACAGCTCCCCCCCCTCCACCCTCACTACAGAAAACTAGGAATTGTGATACTGTGGTGACAAGATCTTCAACACAAAACTGAAATCCCCTGCCTTGACATCTCCCCATAGGCAACAGAGAGATGAGAAGCCGCAACTATTAGCTGGTTTTAGCACTGACATAGCCCATTGGTGGGGGACCTGTGGCCCTCCAGGAATTGTTGGACTGTAACTCGCATCATCCCCAACCCCTGGCCGTGCCAGCTAGAACTTTGACCGGAGGGGCCAAAACTTCCCCTCAAATCCATTTAGCCACACTGAAAAATAAGTGCTAAAACAGAATTTAGAATCTCCTCAAATCTCAAACCAAATCCATTTGCTCCTTCTAGCCCTTCCTGTGGTACACTTTTGCCGCCCCCAAAAAGGCAAAACACATTACTGGGCAAAGCACTGAGTGTCGATTCAAAGTTCCTATTTAGCCTTGTCAAGCAGCCCTTGTCCCTTGTCAAATCTACCCCTGCCTCACCTGTGCAAAAAATTAAATAAATAAAATGAAAAGGGCAATTCATTCCATAGGCTCACGGAAATAAATTAAGATGAAGAAGCAAACTACCCTCGCTCACCCCCAAAACATACAAAATGGGGAAAGCAAAATAAATTAAAAACCCATTAAGGGGAGGATATAGGGTGGGTATAATCTGTGCAAAATTCTATGATGGGGCAACAGGTGTTTGCAGTGGCCAAGTTTGAAAGACCCAGTAGATGAGGCCTGGAAGAAAGACAAAACCCTCATGGTGGGATCAATGAATCAGGGATCCGAGGGCTTGAACCAGGAAGTAAGACCTAGCATAGCAAGCCACCTAGATCTGCAAAAGCTTAGCCTTTGGAGCTCTCAACAGGCATAGAAGGGAATGGAGAGTAAAACAAGGCCCTGCTACTGCCAGGCAATCTGAAACATCTGGATTGGCCCAGTAAAGTCGAAATACTAGGAGCCTGCCCATCAGTTCTTGCCTGGTTAGCAGATCAGTGACCATCTACCAACAAGATCTTTTAGGGTTCAGCTCAAACCTTCTGCCTCAACAGCTGACCTTGGGGACCCTAGATTTTAGTGTACACGCATACATACAGCTTTAACAGGTCTGGATTGAGGCAAGGCCTGTAGTCACAAAAATAAGGTAGGAGTTCCTGGTTTTCTTGAGAAATTCAAAAATATTTCTATTTTAGGGCAAGGAGTTTTACTGGACACTTTGGTTACGGCTGTTTTTGATCCTCAATGAAAGTTGGTGGCTGACAGTGAGGCAATAGGGGCAAATCCATCTCTTATCTCTTCTTGCAATTATCATTACAACTCAGCAGTTACACAAGGAAATCAAATGATATAAAGAGCTTCTTAAGCAATAAGGGTGAAAGCGTGCGTGGAATTCATTTCAGAAGTCCCAAGTGCGACTGATGCAAACACAGAAGTCCTTCCCCTTGCAAGAAGTTCTGGTTCTATTATCGCCATTTGAGGCAACCTCACACAATAAGAAAGTACTGTAATTATTTGGGTAGCCAAACATTAGTGACAACTGCAAATCTCCCACAGCTGCAAAAACACACCCTTTGCAGAGTTTGCTGCAACAAGATATGTGCAGCAAGATCAAAGATCCAGCAGTCCCTGGTAGGAGCACTGTCTTCGCTGAAAATATATATATTTATGTAACTAAATAATGTAAGTAACAGGATTTTAAATCACCATCTGGATCACGCAGCACACTGCAGGTGAGCTTTGCCCTTTGATGTGGAATGTCTTATTAAACCAGAGCGGGGGAGAGGCATCCCTCCAGATGTTGCTGGACTCCCCAAACCCATCAGCGCCAGCCAGCACGGCCCATGGTCAGGAGTGGCAATGGGAGCCGCAGTCTGAACAGCCTCTGAAGGGCCTGAAGATGCCCACCTGTGCATGAAAGGGGCCACACATGTATCACTGCCCTCCGCAAAGCCAGTTGCCGTTCAGCTGCTCTCTTTCTCTCTCCCCACTGTCAAGAAAACGAGAAGTTTCTGCTCTTCTTCGGAGAGGCAACTGGTTTAGAGTGTGTGCAACAGGTGTGGCCCACAAAGTCCCCTCTCTGACAGCCAGAGGGTGAAGGAAGGTGTTTGTATTTCACCGAGGCACAAAACACACCGGTCAGACTCTGCCACTCACCCCAGGCCCCCTTATAACAGAACAGGAAATTTTGCAATTGCTCCTCAACAGCAGCCAACTGCATATATGGATCTCAGCATCTTAAAAAAGGAGTTGTTTGGCGATGCCATTGCCAGCACCACCCCTGCCCACCCCCAATCCCAGCTTTGTCTCCAAGCATGCTATCACCTAGAGCTAGAAGAACACTGGCAGGGGGAGAGAGAATATGCCAACACAATTCTCCTCTTCAACATCCCCCCCCCCAATCTCTCAGCAAATCCCTCTGGACTCCTCCATAATCCCATGCAGGCTGCATTCTGGGCAAAGTAGGCCTTGCCACTTTGTTTCTAGGAGGGAGAATGCCGTACCCTAACCTAATTCAAAAGAAAGACGCCCCCTACATTTTAAAAGGGGGGTGTTGGTGTAAGAAACATTTGCAATCAGACTGGGGCCCTTAGAGAGCCTTCGAGAAACCTCACAATGCAACAGTCCTGTCGAGAGAAACACCTATTTGTAATGTGACGTTGTCTCTCCTTGCAATCTACCAAATTAAAGCTACCTTTTAATCCCAAGCGAAACTGAATGTAAGGTGGGGGGGGGGGAGATGGGGGACGCTTGGGAAGGAAAGCTGGCAAAGGGAGGGAGTGGGGGGGGTAATAACGACAAAGCTCTAATGAGTTGTTAACAAACACTTTCCCCCCCTCCATCCCCCTTTAGCACAATACAAGAAGAGAAGTCAGATTTGGTCCACAACAAATACAGTTCCCTGCGGATTCCATCATTGTGCAAAACATACCAATAGATACTTGTGTTTCTTAGGGCAAGGGGAAGAGACGAATACGTCCTCCTTTGACCCAAAATTAAGGCAGCTCTGTTCTTCCCAACAGGAAGGATGTGAAAACCATTTCCCCCTTCCCAATCGCTAATTTATAAAGGCGAAAGAAACACAAGAGGCCTAGGCTCTTGGGTGGGTGGGGGGGAATATATTCAGTAGGCTTGCTACCAGCGGCCCTCCACCACCTTCCCTTCCCCAACTGCTTTTACACAACAGAATTTCTCATGCACCAGAATGCCACATAAAATCCCGACATAAATGCACCCTCGGTACATTTGACATTCAAAAAAGGCCAAGAGATTAGGGCTTGTCTTTCGCTTGCCTTTTTCTAGATCTAGGAAAATGGGGAGTCCTCACCTACCTCTCTTCTACAAGGCGATCCAGAAATCCTCACCCGGCAAAATCCATCGGCAAGATATAGCACAAATCATTATCCAAAAAATCACGAAGGGAGGAAAAGGAAGGGTTTGCATTTGTTCCCTTCCTTTAAAAAAAAAACAAAAAACTATATATAGATATAGATATTTCTGCTGGACTTTTATTTACAGCCACCCGGAGAGCGAAGGGGGGGGATAAAACAAGCAAAACAAAACAAAACAAAAAGGTTTGGGAAGGATGCTAGTTCCAATATCCGAGGCTCTCTCCACCCAGGAAAAAAGAGACCGCCCAGCCCCCTTCGGAGAGTAGGGGACGGGTGAGCTTTGCTTCCTTCCACCACGGCAGTTCAGGGTTCCAAAATCAGCCCAAAGGGAAGAAGAGCGAAGCAGCAAGATCCCTAGGACGGCACACAAAGGGAGCTCCGGTTTTGCCTTTGATCTTCAAGCAGCCGCATCCGACGGAGAAGGCCTTTCTGCCGGCGCGTCCCCTCGCTCACTTCTGCCTCCGGGATTCTCTCTCGGGGTCCCCCGTCCGTCCGTCCCCCCACCGCCTGCCCGCCCCTTGCACCCTCCCGCTCACCCCCTTGCTCTTAGCAGGAGGCGCCCCGAACAGAACGTTTCGAACACTCACTTTCTAGGCCGGATGGAACGTTGAGGGCTCCCGGGGGGTGGGGGGAGGGAGAAAGAGAGCGAATGGAGGAGAGTGGACGGGGGGGGGGCTGAAATAGAACGTTCAGAGTTTCCCTCCCGATGGAACGTTCATACTTTTCCTCGCCTCTCCCCCGCCGCGCAGATTCCCTTTCCCGGCAAGACACACGCAACTAAAACTAACCCGGAGCCTCAGCTCACCATCCTCGTTTCTTATTATTTGCTACACGGAACGGAGCTTAAACACGCCCGGCCGCAGCCTCCCTCGGAAGGGTGGCTTGCAACCAACACACCCTTGTTTCGGCTGGGGAGGGGTCTTCTCGTCTCTCTCCCCCCACCACCACCACCTCAACCCTCCCACTGTTAGCCTCCTCCCTACCTTCTGTTCCAGGCCTCCTCTCTTTCTTTTCCTGTTTCGCTCTCTCCTCTTCCTTTCTTTTCTTCCCCCCCGCTAAACTTCTCCTCCCCTCCCCCGCTTGCACCCTAATCCTCAGCTTCAGAGGAGGAGGGGGCTCCGAAGCAGCATCGCTGGCTGGTCTCTAACCCCCCCGCTCGGCTTCCGCCCCCCCGCACCCACCCACAACGAAGGGCTTCAAGGAATGGAACAGAAAGTGTTCACCGAGGCAGCCATTTTCAGAGAGGAAAGTAGGTCCTGCTGGGCCAGCTCCGGGTTTGCTTAACCTCCCCCTCCCTCCTCCTCTTTCTGCGCGAGGGGAGGGTGGGATCCCGGAGTCAGGGACTTGTCCCCCTTCCTTCTCTCCGGTCGCCTCTTCTTCCCCTCGGAAAAGGCAGGGGGGATCCTGGGCGAGATCCGGTCTGAAGCCCCCCCCCTTCGCCTTTGCCTCGAGACGGCGGGGGGGACGGAAGAGGGGAGGAAGGGAAAGAGAGAAAAAAAGGAGGGAGCGGGCACTTATTTTGTGTTAGGAACCCGATGGCGGAAGGGCACGCAGCAATGGCTTTTGGGGAAGTGAGAGATGCGCCCGTACGGAGCCTCAGCGCACGCTCGGCTGCGGATCACTTCGCCGGCTTTAACCCTCCCGTGCCCGGGCCGGGTGGCTGCGAAAAAGCACGTGGGACGGGTTCAGAGGGCTCTTCCTTCCCCACCCTCCGCGAGGGTGCAAGGGATCGCGGGACAGGTTCAATCCTTGCAAGGGAAGAGGAAGCCGCGATTCCGCTCGTTGCACGGGGGGGGGGGTGACCGGGAAGCAAATAATAAAAATAAATACCTTAAAATAATTTTTTTTAAAAGGCAGCACAGCACTTTTCTCAGCAGGGCACGCGAGCGGTGGAGGGTTCTTGTGGGTCTCTGTAGGGGGCGCTCGCTCCCGCGCCCGGGCACATGCCTCCAGGACTCGCGCTGTAACCTTTGCTCAAGTGAGGTCCCGCTGCGCCCCCCAGCGGCACAGAGATCCCCGATCTCTCTTTTCCCCCTCCGCCACCCCGCGCCCGGTTCCCCGAAACACGATTCCAGCGGACCTGTTGGGAATCTTGCACAAGGAAAACGGTGGCCCACCGGAATCGGTTAATACACACCTTCTCAGCTTTGACCCCCGGTTGCCCCGCAAGGTCTTCCCTGGGCTGTGAAGCTGATTCGAAGTGTCAGGTTGACCTGGAACATCTCGCGTCCCGCGTTCCCTGTTCCGGGAGGAAAGCAATTTTTATTTTCTTCCCCGACCTCCCTAACCCGTGCAGCGCTTTGCATTCCTTCCTGCCCGTTTTCCTCCCTGCACGATCGCACAGATGCGACAAACTGGCGCAGCTGGTTATATAATCCCTTGGATTCGTATTTGGAAAGTGTTCTCTATCTAAATATATATGTACTGTATATAGTTTCCATTTCGGGTTTTTTCGTCGCTGCCGCTGTTGAAGCAGGTGAGTTTGTCTGGGTTTACTCTCCCGGTGTGAAGTAGCAGGCTAGCGCAGGCGGGATGCTTTCGATGTTAACTGGATCTCCCCTAACATAGGAGCCAATAAAATATTTGAGGGGGACAGGCCCCCCCAAAGTTGATGGGCATTGTCATTCAAATGACAAGTGTCATGTGATCGATTATTATACGAGGTGGCGCTTACCTGGGGGCCCCCATATTTTATTCAAGTCCCCCAAAATGTACTGATCTTCCTTTCACTTGCTATCCTGAACCGTTTGAGCATTTTTCTGCGTTTTATGTCAATGTCACAAGATGTTTCTAAGGCGCTCTTTAGGATATTTCATATCCCAAGATTCTCAACAACTAAAAAGGTACAGCCACAAATTCCCTATTCATGCCATCTTTTTTGCGTTGTTAATAATAGCCCTCCTACAGAAAGCCCCCGCCTCTCAAAATACAGAAATGGCACTCTCTTTTGCAACCGCCTGATAAAGAGAATAGGCAGAATATTGATAATGGGTGTCAACAGTGGCTGGCTTGTGGTGCGTTTTCTGGGGACAGGCTGGCTGGGGGTGCTATCTGTGTGCCATTCTGGCTCAGTGGATTCCCCAAAACTCCCAACTTTGTGTTGTTAGAGGACCTCAGCATCTGGGCAGATCCTGCCGCCTCTGGTTTTGCTCCGGACTTCATCGTTTCCAAGTCAACCTTAGAGTTGTCCCAGATAGTATGGGGCCCAACACATCGTTTAAAGATAACACATTGGATTTGCCTCTCTGCAAAGGGCAGGATTCTGGTGATCTTGTGTGGCTGGTGCCTGATTTAAGGGGTTTGTGGACTCACGGCTACCCCCACCCCCCCAGGACACATAGCCAGTTCATATGGTTCATCCCTGGAAACTTTTGGATCTGCTTGGTTCCCATAATGCAAGGATAAGGAACCTCAGGCCAAATGCAACCCTCCAGGCCTTTTTCGTCTGGCCTCTGGGACACTCCTCAGGCCACATACCCTCTCCCCAGACCACATCCCTCACTGGCCCAAGTGTTTTTGCCTGGTTTGACTACATCTTTGTTTCCTTAAATGGAAGAAACAGTGTAAACAACTAGCCCATCTTAAAATTCACATTTGTGGTTGCACCTTCCCACCAGTGGGATATGGTCCTCAGAAAGGTGCCCAGGAAGGAACATGGTCTTCAGGCCGAAATAAGTTCAGCTCCCCTGCCATAATGCTTTGGGAGAATTAGATAGCAGCATGTTATTGATCCCGAGACGTCACCTTGCCAACAAAGGTCCACATAGTAAAAGCTATGGTTTTCCCAGTAGTGATGTGTGGAAGTGAGAGCTGGACCATAAAGAAGGCTGATCGCCGAAGAATTGATGCTTTTGAATTGTGGTGCTGGAGGAGACTCTTGAGAGTCCCATGGACTGCAAGAAGATCAAACCTATCCATTCTGAAGGAAATCAGCCCTGAGTGCTCACTGGAAGGACGGATCGTGAAGCTGAGGCTCCAATACTTTGGCCACCTCATGAGAAGAGAAGACTCCCTGGAAAAGACCTTGATGCTGGGAAAGATAGAGGGCACAAGGAGAAGGGGACGACAGAGGACGAGATGGTTGGATAGTGTTCTCGAAGCTACCAGCATGGGTTTGACCAAACTGCGGGAGGCAGTGGAAGACAGGAGTGCCTGGCATGCTCTGGTCCAGGGGTCACGAAGAGTCGGACACAACTAAACGACTAAACAACAACAACAACAATTGATCCCCTGAGAGGATGGTGGAATACTTGTTTGACTAGGCCTATAGACACTGCTGCCTGCACAGAAAGACAGATTAAAGGAGACAGACAGATTTAGCTGAGGGAAGATGTAAAGTAGACGTGTGCAACTAAAACTTCCATCAGCCCCAGCAAGCATAGTAAATGACCAAGAGTGATGGGAGTTGTAGTGCAGCAACTTCTGGAGAGACAAAGGTTATCCACACCTGAACTAAAGGGAAAGATGCTGAAAGTAACATTTATTTTTAGTTCAGTAGTTTGTGTTTTAATGGTTGGATTGCAGTTGTTGTCTTTGTTATTATATTTGTAAGCTGCTTTGGGTTTTCTTCTTAGCCAACAATCTGCTTTGGGCAACTCCTTTGTGGAGGGGAAAGACAGAATATACCTTTTTTTAAAAACCATTAACCATTTCTCTCCATTTTTTGACAAAGTTACAAACTTGGATCAGGGGAATGCTGTGGGTGCAGTGTATCTTGAGTTTAGTAAAGCTGTTGACAAAGTCCCCCATGATATTGTTGCAGAGAAGTTGGGAAATGTGGACTGAATGAGGTACAGTGGTACCTTGGGTTAAGTACTTAATTTGTTCCGGAGGTCTGTTCTTAACCTGAAACTGTTCTTAACCTGAAGCACCACTTTAGCTAATGGGGCCTCCTGCTGCTGCCGCGCCGCCGGAGCACAATTTCTGTTTTCATCCTGAAGCAAAGTTCTTAACCCGAGGTAATATTTCTGGGTTAGCGGAGTCTGTAACCTGAAGTGTATGTAACCCAAGGTACCACTGTACTTCTAAGGTGGATTTGTAGCTGGTTGACTGACCGAACCCAAAGAGTACTCATTAATGTTTCCTCGTCATCCTGAGAAAAAAGTGACAACAGGGTTCTGTCTAGGGCCCGTTGGTTGTTCAACGTCTTTATAAACAACTTGAACAAAGGAATTGAGGGAACGCTCATCAAATTTGCAAATGACACAAAACTGGGAAGAGTAGCTATTGCCACAGAAGACCAAATTGGGGTTCAAGATGACCTTAACAGATCGAGAGCTGGGCCCAAACAAAATGAATTTCAACAGGGACAAATCTAAGGTTCTGCACTTAGGCAGGAAGAACCAGCCACGCAAATATAAGATGAGGAACACGTGAAAAGGATCTAGGGGTCTTAGTAGACCACAAGTTTAACATGAGTCAATAGTGTGACGCAGCAGCAAAAAAACCTAATGCTATTCTAGGCTTCATCAGCAGTAGAATAGTGTCCAGATCAAGGAAAGTAATAGTTCTGCTTTATTC